CCAGATGAATAAATAACTGAATGAGTGAATGAGGGGAAGAGGACTGTAGACCTCTAGGATGTTTGTAAGGCTCAAAAGAGTTGGTTTAAGTGAAAGCCTTCATGGAGCATTAAGCAGTGTGTATTATTGTCACAGGCTCTTGGGCTATTCTTGAAGAAGGCCTGTGGCTCTTTTCAACCAATAGCTCTATCCTTATCTCCCTCCAGGCACCTCGCAAGCCAGAAAAGGGGACAAAGTGCAGATGATGTTCCTCGGGAGTTTGTGATGAGGTACAGCGAGAGATGGCATTGTGTCTTCAAAGCTGTGACTTCATCGCATTTTTATAAACATTGGAGATGTAGCTGCCAGGTGCTAGGCAGCAACTTGGGAAAAGACAAAGGAGATCTCTCTCTGAGGGTATTTATAGAGTCCTGAAGTTCACATCTAATGAAAATCACCCCTAAACTCCTTTTTTAAAAAACATATTTTTAGCCAGTCAGCATGGCTTGGTGGTTGAGGTGGACCTATGAACCAGGGTTGACTCCCAGTCAGGGCACATGGCCGGGTTGCCGGCTTGATCCCCAGTGTGGGGAGTGCAGGAGGCAGCCAATCAATGGTTTTCTCTCATCGTTGATATTTTTACCTCTCTCTCCCTCTCCCTTCTCCTCTGAAATCCATAAAAATATATTTTTTAAAATGCCAACACTTAAAATATATATAGGCAGTGGGTGAAGTAAGGGCAGGGCATAACTCAGAACCTGTCGACCCTCCCTCTGCTAAAAACAACGACACAGCCACGGAGTCACACACTGATTTGCCAAGCCCCTCGCCTCCCAGCATCTCCTCTCCAGAATTCAGGAGACTCAGCAAACAAGTACCCCAGGGCCTGACCCAGTACTGACTGGGACTCCTCTAGAGAATGAGCCGCAGGAAGAGGCGGGAGAAGGTTTTGGTTCTCCTACAACCTGCAGGCTCTGGGAAAGTCAGTGGCCACACAAGGGCCTCTTCTCTAGGTGTTTCCCAGATGGTCAGTCCTTCCCAGATAGCCTTTGTTTGGCTTCCCTGCTGCACCCAATTTCCCAAAAGTGTAGAAGCCTCCTGTGAGCCAAGCTTCATGCTGGCGCTGGGGGCACTTTGTTCTCAGGGGCTCAAAGCCTCAGGAGGCAGAGCAGGCCACCCCCCTCCACATGACAAGTGCTAGGAGGTGGGGGAGGAATCCAACTGGAGGAGAAGTTCCTATGTGCCTATGGGCAAAGGCACCGAGGCCTCAGAGCCTGGCCGGTCTGGAGAAGAGCAGGAGATCAGCATGGCAGGGACATAAGGAGGGTGGGGAAGGGGGGTGTGGGAACGGGGAGGTGGGGTGGGGGCACAGCAGCAGGCCAGGCAGGTCTTGGGGCGACACTGTGCACATGGTGGCTGGAGCTGCAGCTGACCTCCAGAACCACGAGGAGACTTTGGGCAGAAGTCGCACATAGGATGGTGGGTCCGTGGTCATGAGCCCCCACACCAGACCTGGTCCGTGTTCCTTCCTCTGGACTTGTTTTCACATCAGAGAGAAAGGAACATTTATCCTGTTTAATTCACTGTCATTTGGGGCTTGTCTCTTATGTGCAGCTGAACCTAAACTTTAAATGACACAAATTTGATGCCCTCGTTCCATGAGGGCGGAATTTGAGACAAGGAAGCAAAGGGACTGGACAACGCTTACCCAGCTAGTTTATCTCAAAGCTGTGTCTCTCCTAGCAGAATGCCTAATGGTTTTCTCATCTCCAATTCCACAGGTATTTCTCGAACCCACGTGTGCAGGTGCAGTAGTGCAGAGCCTGGACGGCAAGCCGGGCTTTCGCGATGCCAGTCTCAGGGCTGTCGCCCCGAGAAAGTGCTCTGGCCAGCGGAGGGGCCATGAGCAAGCCTTTACCCAGCCTCAGGACCCGCCTGTGGCAAACGGGGCCCCTTCGCACGCTTCATTCACTCAGGTCCCCTCTGAGAACCCGCAGCAGCTCCTCTCACACTGCGTTTACCCAGCGCCCGGGGCATTCCTGGACCTGTCAGTCATCGGTCAGCCATGGACTGGCTCTCACGCACCGGTCAGCGAGGCTTACTGCCAGACTGAGATCTTCTGCTCTTCTATTAGCTTGCCCTGCTAAGTGAAATGGCGACTTCCCTTCTGCCTCCAGCAGAATGTGAAACTCTAATTCTGAAAATGTGGCACCAGAATACACAGCTGGTCTGATCCTTCACCCAACTAACTCCCCTAACAACTGATGTCACACTCCAGTGCCGCTGTGTCCCCCCTTGGAGCCCGTCAGCAGGGCCGCGTGGACAGGGCTCGTCCCCTCGCGTGCTCAGTGCAGTGGTTCTGGGAGGGACTGCGGATTAACCGGCAAACCTGATCACGGCACCCGAGAGGACTCCGTGTCTTAGAGGGAAAGCGTTCTTGGTGAAAGCAGGGGGTGGGGAGATAAAACAGTCACCGAAAGCTCAGCTTCCCAGACAGGCTCTCTGATCCCAAGTATAACGGTGACATTTAAAAATCTTTGACGCCCTGGCTTACCCCTTCTGGAAATGGCGCGACTTGTCAGATCACACCTCATTCATCTTCTCAATTCACTGCCTATGTAGTATCAACATGGCATTTCCACTTGAGGAAAACAGGAAAAGCAAGACACGGGGTGCTTTCCCCAGACAAGGTAGCAAGAGCCCCATGGCTAAGTCCCGGCTCCCAGCTCCCCCTCTTAAATATAAGCGATCACCACAGACTCTCCCTGAGGAGGTGCCCCAAACCCATCTGGGAACCAGGGCCAGGGTCACTGTCTTCTGGGGTTGCCACCTGCTCTGCCCAACGCACAGAAAACCACTCCACACATGGAAGCCCTTGGAAACAATGAAGTGCGCCCACCTGTGTAAGCTAATAAGATGGAGACAAGACGTTGGGAGCCACATACCCACAGTAAGGGAAGCTACCACAGCTCCCCAGTGTGTCCGGTCTCACCTTGGTCAATGGCACCAAAGTGCAGTTCAGTTTACTAGGACCAGGCATTGGCAGGGTCCCTGTGCAAAGGCGTGTATGTCACTCACCGGCCAGGGACAGGAAGAGCGCCATCGCTGCAGGGAGCTGCCAGGGCATGGCTGGGAGCCGGGGCCTGGGACTCCGGAGGCTGGCGCTGCTGCTTCGCGGTGCCTTGCTCAGCACAGCTGGGTTTCCTGAATGGCCCGAGGCTATTCCAGTCGGCTTCCTCCTTCAGGTGTGGCTGAGAAGCCGGTCATTTACATAGTGAGAAGTCGCTGAAAGGCCCGCCCCCATGGGGAGGGAACCACAAGTGTCCCTGGGGAGAAAGCAGGCACTTTCATCTCAGGCTCTAGAGCAGTGGTTCTCAACCTTGGCTGCACATTAGAATCACCTGGGAATCTTTTTAAAATCCTGATTTCTGGGCCTCATCCTCCGGAAATTCTGTTTCTTTGTTACTAATGTTGTGGCCCCACCCCATAACAAAGAAACAGAATTTCCAGGGGATGAGGCCCAGAAATCAGGATTTTAAAAAGAGTCCCAGGTGATTCTAATGTGCAGCCAAGGTTGAGAACCACTGCTCTAGGGTTTGGGAGGGTGGGGGGTGGGGGGTGGGGATGCCCCTCCCCCTAATTTGAAGGGCCTGAGATCATTTCTCCACCAGAGGTGGGAGTCTGAGGCAGCGCCCGCCCCTTCTCTCTTATGGTGGGTCTTCCTTTTCCTTAAGACCTTGAATTAAGCCAGAGATGCCTCTCAGCCAGGGGACCGTCAGCCCCTCCGTCATGAGGGTGGGCAGGAGTCTTAGTGGTTAGAGCTCAGTAGCATGGTCCCTCTCCGTGAGCTCACTAAATGTCTGAGGCAGCCATGGCCGCCTCACCTGGGGCCTCACCTGGTGAGGAGCAGGAGAACTGAGTGTGGAGTCAGGGAGATGTGGGCTAGAACCTGGCCTTTGCAACTCCGCAGCTGCACGACCTGGGGTGACCCCTCGGGCCTCGGTTTCTCCTGCTGTATAATCTGCTGTATAATGGAGACAACAATGCCTACTCCCAGGTGGCGTTACAAACCCAAAGTTCCTGGGACACGAAAACGACTCAGTATCTTTGAAAGGCAACCTTTTCATGTCTTATATCCTTCCTCTATTAAATTAGCCAAACAATGGAGGATTATCTCTCAGGCCTATGCATCTGAGTGAAGAATATACATTCGTGGCCTATAGTATTACTATCAGTAGAATGAGAGCAACACAACACAGGGGCGTGTGTGTGTGTGTGTGTGTGTGTGTGACAATTCATCCCGTAACAACGGTCTGTCCTGTTAAATGTTCTGTGTGCACTTAAGAAGACTGTTGCTGGAAAGGGGCCCTGGCCCTGTGCGGGTCTGCTGGGCTGGCTGGCAGTGTGTGGGTTCTTGACTTTGTGCAGGAAACATCTCACAACATGAGTCCAGGTGAATTTTAGAGGATGTTTATTAAGGCAGGGACAGTGAAACAAGGAGGGACCTAGGACAGAAGCAGCAGCAGGGGAGGACAGGGTGGGGAAATGAGCCCAGGCTGGGCAGCTTTGGCTCACTGAGAAGTCAGAGAAAAGGGGGCCTTGGAGACAGGGTCAGGGGGTAAGGCTGGGATGGGCGTCTGCTGCCCACTGCTCCCCTGGTTACAAGTCTCGTAGGGACCCTTAGAGTTTAGAGATTCGTGCCTGTGGGGGAAGAAGCCGAGGGGAGAAGGGGAAGGAAATGTTTTTCCTTAAATTTCAGGTTAGATCTTGCCTTGTGAACTCAGCTCTCTCATGAGTTCAAGAAAAGTTGTGCATTTGTGCATTTTCCAGATTTTTTAAAATCTCGCACGTGTGGAGATAGTTCTCCTTCTAGCTTTCCACATCTCAAGCAGAAGATATTATTTTTAACAGCAGCATGGGGTTCCAATTCATGTCAGGACAATACTTTATTAATCAGCTTTTTATTATTTAGTATTATGTCTGTTATCCATCGTTGCTTAACAAATGACCCCACAACTTAGCAGCTTAAACCAAACATTTATTATCTCATGATCCCCTGGTAATGAATTCACAGGCAGCTGAGCTGGGTTCTTCTGGCTCTGGGTCTCTCATGAGGTTTCAGCCACGAAATCAGCTGGAGCTGAAGCCGCTGGAAGGAAGGCCTGGCTGGGGCTGGAGAGCCCACCCCCCAGGTGGCTCATTCACGTGGCTGTGGGCGTGGGGCTTCAGTTCCTGCGTGTGGGTCTCGTCATGGGGCAGCTTCAGTGTCTTCTCAACACGGTAGCTGGCTTCTTCCACGGTGACTAACTCAAGAGGCAGAATGAGGAAGAAGGCAAATGCTTTTTATAACCCAGTCTTGAAAGTCTGTTACCATCGCTTCCACCACATTCTATTGATCACAGTCACTGTCACTGCCCACACTCAAAGGGAGAAGTACCAATTTGGGGATAAATTTTAACACTACCACAGACATTTAGGTTGTTCCCCATCTTCCGCTACCTGTTTTCCCATTAAAAGCAATGTGAGCCCTAGCTGGTTTGGCTCACTGGATAGGGCGTCGGCCTGCAGATGGAAGGGTCCCAGGTTCGATTCCGGTCAAGGGCACATGCTTGGGTTGTGGGCTCGGTCCAATGTGCAGGAGGCAGCCAATCAATGATTCCTTCTCATCATTGATGGTTCTACTTCTCTCTTCCTCTTCCTTCCTCTCTCTGAAATCAATAAAAACATACATATTTTTTAAAAAGCAATGTGAAAATGAACACCTGTCTATATCTATATATCTCTGTTGTTTTGTTTATCATTAAAATAAAGTCTTAGAAGTGGAATTGCTGGATCAAATCATATACATATTTTAAATTTTGATAGCCATTGCAAATTTTTTCCTAAAATCTAGTACTAATTTACACCCTCACCAGTGGTGTATGACAGTATTGGTTTTGTTATAGTCTCTCCAGTACTGGAGGTTATCAAAGTTTTAAATGTTGGACTGTCTGTTAATGAAAAAAAGATTATCTTATTGTTTTGCTGCTTTTTGTATATTTATTGGATTTTAAATTTCTTTCCTGTGTATATTCATGTCCTTTGCGCATTTCTTTTTCTATTGTTGTTGTTATCTATATATATAAAAGGCTAATATGCAAAGTGTCCCCTCAGGAGTTCGACCGGGAGAACAGGAGTTCGATCACTTGCTATGACGTGTGCTGACCACCAGGGGGCAGTGCGGAACATGGTGGGCAACCAGCAGCGGTGGGGTGCTGAGGGAGTGAGGGAAGGAGAAGGCAGAGAGGCAGGGAGGCAGGAAGGTGGGGAACCTAATCAGCCCTAATCACCAGCCAGGCCTAGAGACCCTACCCATGCATGAATTTCGTGCACCGGGCCACTAGTTGTTATTGATTTGTAAAAGCTCTTTATGTACCAAGGAAATAGTCAGAGACATATGTTTTAAAAATGTATTATGGCCCTGACCAGGTGGTTCAATTGGTTGGAGAGTTGTCCTGTGCACCAAAATATTGTGGGTTTGATCCCCTGTCAGGGCACATGCCTATGTTACAGGTTTGATCCTTGGTTGGGGCATGTACAGGAGGCAACAGATCGATGGATCGATGTCTCTCTCTCTCTCTCTCTCTCTCTCTCTCTCTCTCTCTCTCTTTCTCTCTCTCTCCCCCACCACCACCTTCATCTCTCTCTTAAAAAACAACAACAAATAAACATCTTCAAGTGAGGTGTTAAAAAATGTATTAATGATTTGACCTTTTGTTCTTTTTTCTACCTATAAGTTTTTGCTTCTTACATAGCCTAATTAATCAAAATTTTCTTTTAGTTTTCTTATAGTTTTCGTCTGGAAAGACTTTATCCCATTCAACATTACATTTTAAATGCTTTGACTTTCATGATTCCTTTAAGTTACATATTTGAACAATATGAATTATACTGAGGGATGAGGTAGACACTATTTTTTCCACATTGCTATCCAGGGATCCCAGCAACACTCTCACACATAGTTTATCTTTTTTGTTGTTGTTGTTCAGAACTAATTTGAAATGCATCTTTCCATACTCTAAACTCTGAGATGTATCTGGGTCCATTTCAAGATTTTTATACTCTGTTCCTCTTATGTTTATTTATTCCCATAGCACAGTAAGTCCTCACTTAATGTTAGAAATAGGTTCTTGGAAACTGCTGCTTTATTTTACCATAGGCTCATTGATATAAACAAGAGTTAAGTCCCTCTGACATATTCTGGTTACAAAAACATCACAAAACTTCTAAATAAAGACCCCAAATACTTCTAATATAAAAGATTAAAATAAATGTGAACTATGCATACATTTAAGAAAGATGAATAAAAACATCAAAAAACTTCTAAAGAAAGACTCCAAATACTTTTCATGTTAAAGATTAAGATAAATGTGAGCTATACATACATTTAATAAAGGTGAATAAAAGCAAAGAAGATAATTGTTTTCCAATCCACTTCCTCCAGTTCAGGTGGAGAGGGGGCTGGAGCCTACCCCTGCCGCTCAGGGTGCAAGGCAGGAACCAGCCCTGGACAGGACACTCTTCCACCACAGGGCACACTCATGCACACCTGCACTCACTTAGACTGAGGCAACTTAATATGTTGTTATTGATTTTAGAGAGAGAGGAACATTGATGAGAGAGAGAAACATCAATTGGCTGCCTCCTGCACATGCCCTGTCTGGGAATCAAACCAGCATGGGACAAAGCTCAACCAACTGAGCCATACCAGCCAGGGCCTGGGACAATTTAGATACCTCACCACATGTGCAAATCTTTGGGATGGGGAGGAGACCAGAGTACTTAGAGAAAACCCACGCAGACATGGGAGAACACGCAAACTCCATGCAAACAGTGGCCCCTGGGCAGGAATCGATTTTTTTTTTTTAACATCATCTGTGAAACCACATTGAATGAAACATTGTTTGAGGACCCGCTGTATGTGTTCTCTGACAAATTGAAATATTATGATATAAACCTATAGTTTTTGCTACTTTAATAGCCATATTCAAAAATTTATCCATAAATAAAAACTGCTAGCAAATTAAAGATGCAATTGATATTTTATAGAGAATCAGTGAAATTGTGTTTTATAAAGTGTCCTATCCTCATCTGACAATAAACTTGAACCCAAGAGGCACTTCATACATGATGGAGGAGTAAGCAATGCTAATGTGGTAACTGGCATCCTGGGTAGGAGTTGGGAGACATGGATTCTAGTCCCTGCTCTGCTGCAGGCTGGCTGGGTCACACTGACACATAGTAATAAAATCGCAGGTGGGCAATGTCCTCCTAGCTACACTCCCGGCCCCTCTTGTAGCTGTTGTGGCCATGCAACAAGGCTTTCACTAAAGGAATAGAAGGTGTGTGCCGTTTGCGGAGGGTGGGCCTTCCAACATTGCACAGGCCATCTGCCAAGTTCTCCTCCCTTGCTGCGAGTGGAAGTCGGACACTCTCACACTTGCTTTTGACTCTGCAGTCAAGGACAATGTTCTAGGGCAGCCGTGGGCAAACTACGGCCCGCAGGCCGGATCCGGCCCATTTGAAATGAATAAAACTAAAAAAAAAGACCGTATCCTTTTATGTAATGATGTTTACTTTGAATTTATATTAGTTCACACGAACACTCCATCCATGCTTTTGTTCCGGCCCTCCAGTCCAGTTTAAGAACCCATTGTGGCCCCCGAGTCAAAAAGTTTGCCCACCCCTGATCTAGGGAATGGTGGGAAAACCAGAAGGAAGGAGCCTGGGACACCAGATGACTGTGTGGGGCCACGCAGCCTGCATACCCAACCAGGGCTGTCTCATGAGGAAGGATATTCTTTCAGTCACTATATTGTTTGATCTTTTTGTTACAACAGCTTAACCTTTCCCTTTCCCAATATACATGAGATATTATAGTCCACAAAGAAAAGGGTTCAAATAAGCTTGGGAGATGATGAGTTTAACAAAAGTATACACACTTCCTTTCTTCAAGAGTTCTCAGATCCTTTAATCTAGTTGGAACCAACTAAGAGAGGAACAGAATATGTCATGTTTTAAAAATGTATTTATTATTAGACTAGAGGCCCGGTGCATGAATTCATGTATGGGTGGGGTCCCTCTGGGTGGCCTGCAGGGATCGGGCCAAAATCTGCAGTCCAACACTGCCTGCAGCTCCTACCTGTCGCTCCGCTCATCCTGGCCCCACTGTGCCTGCTGCAGGCTTGCGCCCAATCAGTCCCGATAGGGAGAGGCTCACGCTACTGCAGCAGCACTCGCCAGCCATGAGCCCTGTGTCTGGAGCCCTCCCAAGGGGAGTGGCCTGCAGGATCGGGCTGAAACCAGCTCTCCAATATCCCCCGAGGGGTCCCAGATTGCCAGAGGACACAGGCCAGGCTGAGGGACCCCACCAGTGCACGATTGGGATCGGGCCAGGGAGGGACTGCGGGAGGGCTCCAGGGCATGTCCAGCCCATTTCACTCAGCCCTGATTGGCCAGACCCCAGCAGCAAGCTAACTTATTGGTCAGAGCATCTGCCCCCTGGTGGTCAGGCAATGTCATAGTGAGTGGTTGAGCAGCCTTAGCATATCATTAGCATATTATGTTTTGATTGGTTGTTCTGCCATTCGGTCTATTTGCATATTACTCTTTTATTATCTATACTAATAGAGAAATATGCAAATTATCCATTACAGCATCACATTATGACCGGATTAGCAGGCTGTGTTTCCGCCCTCTGCTCAGGCAGCTGCAGAGGTTCGGGGTGGGATAGGATACGATCAATAGGAGGGGATAAGAAAGGAGAGGGAGAGGAAGGCAGGCCTGCATGCAGACAGGCCAAGAGAAGAAACAGAAATACAGAAAGGGAACAAGAAAAAGACTCAGGAATGGAAAAGGGAAGGAAATGCGGGGCTGCACGCGGGAGGGGTGGCAGGTGCGCCCGGCGCGGGGTGGGAGGAGGGTGGTGGCCCCTGGTGTGGGCCATTGGCGGGGAGGCACCCATGGGTCTGGGATGGAGTGGTGGATGTTCTGAGGCCTTCTGGGCGGAGGTGCTCTTGCTTCACTTTAAGAAGGGAGGGAGGGAAGAACTTTATAAAGGAGTCAGCAGAGAGCAGAGTTAAAGAAGGAAAGAGGATGTGTGAGTGAGTTTAGGAGCTATAATGAAAACCAAGTATAGCTGTGTACTGGGGACAGATTTTAAAAGTAGGAGTCAGATAAATGATAGTGAATAATTAGGCAGGTAGATGGATAGATATGAAAACAGTGGGAGTAAGTAGAGAAGAATGTATGGGAAAGGTAGGATGAGAGAGAAAGAGGGAGGGAAGAAAAGTTTTAAAGGGGAGCCAGTAGAGCTTTAAGGAGAATGGGAAGAAGGAAGAAATGGGGGAGGGAGCAAAGCAGGTCCGAGGGAGGAAGTGAAGAAAAAATTAAGGTGGGAAAGAAGGAAAAGGGGAGGGAGAGGAGGGGTAAAGATGAAAGAAGGAATGTGGAGAGGGAGGGTAGGAGAAAGATGGGAGGAAGGATGATGGAACAGAAGTAGGAAATAAGGAGGAAAGAAAAGTCTATAAATGATGAGTCAGTAGGAAAAAGTGTTACATAAAAGAGAGAGAAAAATTGTGTGAGAGGGAGAAGCCAATAAGGAAGTCAAACACAATTGTGTGTGAAGGGGATAAGATTAAAAAAGAAAAGTTAATAGGGGTGACCAGGTCAGCAGGGGAGGGCAGTTAGGGGGATCAGGCAGTCAGGCAGAGTGGTTAGGGCAGGCAGGCAGGTGAGTGGTTAGGAGCCAGAGGTCCCAGAATGCGAGAGGGATGCCCAACTGCCAGTTGGACATCCCCTGAGGGCTCCCAGATTGGAGAGAGTGCAGGTCAGGCTGAGGGAACCCCCTGCCCCTGCCCTGTGCATAAATTTCATGCACCATGCCTCTAGTATAGGATAATTTTGTTGTTAAACTCTTACACTCTTCTGCCTATTCTACAAAATATATTCTAGAAATGCTGGTTTAGAGGATCTCTGTTCCTATCTATGTCCTAATGCACGGCAGGTGTTTAGTGTGGACTCGGGCGGGATTTCACAGATCTACGGCCTCTTTTAGTGCAACTGCTTCAGCCAAGGCCCTTGCATTTGGGGTGACTGCATTGCCATGCCTCAGCGGCATGTTGAACTCTGGGTCCCTCTAGTGGGCAACAGGCAACATTGTAAAGCCACGGATGGTTTGAACAAGTTGTGAAAGGAGGCTGGAGGATTTTACCTGATGGGTTGGATTCTTTCCCATTTATTTAAATGGAAAGATGACACAAACTTCACTCACAGAGGAGCCCCCTCCCCCGCCTTTAAGAAGTCTATTTCCCGAGTGAGCCGTGTGTCCAGGCCTATGGTGCCCCCAGCCCCTCCTTGAGTAGCCTGTCCCTTAGCATCTGCCCTGTGCTGGCCACACAGTCAAAGGGCTTGTTTTATGAGCAAAGTGAGTCACTTATTTTTGTTTTTCTTAAATCTGAAGTGATTTTCTTGAGCCTCACAAGAAACGCTTCTCCCCGTACTTGTTACCCACTCCGTTCCAGAAACAAACCAAGGCGCTGGAGACTCGGCCAAACCTCATGTCCAGCGAAAAGTTAAAATCAGATCACCCTAACGATTCCAAAACTAACTAAATCCAAAACGAAACTAACTCCAGAGCCCGGCGTGCTGGGTGTTAGCTGTGATTTCTTAGCTGCGGGCCTACGCTTCTGTTCTCTGCTCTGTGGTACTGGGCCACTCGCCATGCCTCCTTCACCAGCTAGCTGCTCCCTGAACGGTTCGGCCCCAGGGCAGACGGATCAGAGGCTAGAGGAGGAGAGGGGGACACGCTCCTTCCCCGGTGCCTGGGTTCCCACTGGCATCCCCTGGCAACTGGTCTTCACCCTGAGAGCCATGGTGGTTCCGCAGCTGCGGTCTGCCTTCCCCCAACACCTCCACACCAGCCTCATCGCAGTCCTTCAGAGGCAGCAGAGCCAGCCGGCGCAGCTCTCCTCTGCACCCAGCTCCTGGGACATCTGTCCCATCGGGCAGTGCCTTCTCCTCAGAGGGGAACCCCAGCCTTGGGGCCACCTCCCATCCTTCCCTTTGTTCCCTCAGCCCTTGTGGGGAGAGCTGCTTCTTGCAGTTAGAATCTCCATAACATCTCATTATCACTGTTGTTTTTCTCTTCAATATCGCTACTAGTTGAATAATGATTCTTTATATTAAATTCTCTCTTAAAAGAACTGCTATGGTGTCTCTCTGTTGATTGGATCCCGACTGACAAATTCTAGAGTAAATAATTCTGAAAATAAAATGAGTAAAAATACAGAACAGAAAAAAGTTAAAATGGCAAAGACATAGCTGAAAAGAAATAACCAAGAAAATGAAATACTTTAAAACAAAATAACTAAAAAAACCTAAATGACAAAAATGTAAAAGTAAAAAGCCCAGAACTCCAAGTAAGTAAACAACTGTGAACGTAAGTCACTTTAAAACTAAATAACTAGGAGGAAACCCTAAAATAACTAAAAACATTTTACTCTAAAAAATATGTCAATCCCTAACCGGTTTGGCTCAGTGGATAGAGCGTCGGCCTGCGGACTGAAGGGTCCCAGGTTCGACTCTAGTCAAGGGCATGTACGTTGGCTGCGGCACATCCCCAGTAGGAGGTGTGCAGGAGGCAGCTGATCAATGTTTCTCTCTCATCGATGTTTCTAACTCTCTATCCCTCTCCCTTCCTCTCTGTAAAAAAATCAATAAAATATATTTAAAAAAAATATGTCAAATAACTAATTTGGAAATATAACTCTTAAAACGAAATAACTATAAGTAACTGAAAATGAGTAACTAAAAAACGAACCTTTAAAATAAAATGATTATCAACAGGTGACTTTAAAGCTATGACATTAAATAACTAAAACTAAAAATAAAAAAATTAATTAATTAAAAAACGAGCAAATCTAAACAGAAATATGCCCGAAGTTAACTTGTAACTAACCAATCCTCTGTGAATGTAAACAAGCCTGGAGCAAAGTCACCACAAGCATCACTCCCCCGCCCCCCCCTCCCCGCCCCCCGTCCCCGCCCAGGGACCCGAGGAGAAGAGGAGGCGGCAGGGAGGGGGGGGGGGGTCTTCCGCCCCGTCGGGTGGAGCCGCTCAGGTCCTCCAGCCCAGAGGAGAGGCCTCAGCGGGCCCCGCCCCCGTCCCCCGCTACCCGCCCCCCCCCCGCCCGTACCCCCACTCCGGGAGAAATTTGGCAACATCCGAAGGCATGTTTGATCGTCACAGCTCGGGTGAGTGGGAGCTACGGCCCCTGCGGGGAGAGGAGAGGCCAGGGCAGCTGCTACACACCCTACAGTGCGCGGGCCAGTCCTCGTTGGGAACTGTCCGTCCCACGCGTCACAAGCGCGAACCCCGGAAACCCTGGGCTGCGCCCTCCGGTGCCCGTGCAGCACAGGTCTCCGCGGAGTGGGCACCGAGCCGCGCGCTCCCGCCGGCGCCCTGCAGCGGCGCCAGGCTCTCCGTGGGCGGGGCCCGTGCGGCTCCCGAGTCCCCGGGAAGGCGGCCCGGCGCCGGGCTAGGGAGGCGGGTCCGCGCCCCTCCGCCGAGGGCGGCTCCGCTGAGCGAGGAGGCGCGGCTGTCTGGAAGGAGTGCCAGTTTTCTGGGGGTCCCCTCCCCCTCTCCCCCAGCAGCCCGCCCGCGCTGCTTCTGCCCAGACATCCGTCACCTCCCCGCAGGGGCGAGCCCCCAGCGCTCGCCACAGTTGTGTCCATTGCCCTGAATTCCAAGAAGAAAGTCAGAGAAGCGCTGGCTGATGAGTCCGCGTACCCACCTTCCTTCCTCGTTCACACTCGCGTGTCCCTCTGATCACCGCCTCCCTTTTCTCCCTGGATGCGTTCTCCCGCGTCCACACCAGACGTGGGGGAACAGGTGTCATAACTGTCGTCCAACTGGAAAAGCCCCGAGAGCTGGAAGGGCGGGGACAGGGGTGCACCCTCAGCGTCAGCTGGGGTGCCAGGCCAGGCCCACGCGCGGACTCCCCCTGGCAGAGCGCGTGCACCCCGGCTCCTCTTCCACCCCCGGCTCGCCCACCCCGGCTCGCCCACGGGGCCACTCAGGGTCCCAACAGGCGCCCCCTCACTACCGCCAGAAACCAGCGCGTTGCTAAGGAGCCGGCGCTGGGGGGCGCGCTGGCCTGGGAGGTCTGAGCCCCTCTGCACCGGCAGTGGCCTCAGCTTCCCGGACTAGGCCAGGTGCTCACAGGGTAGAATCAGGGAAAGGAGGGCGAGGGGGTGGGAGAGGAAGAGGGGGCCGGGGAAGCTGCTGAACAGGAATGAGGGAGACCGGGAAAGAGGCAGCAGGAAATAAATTACACCCAGAGCGCTGCTCTCCTTCTCCATATCTTCTGCCCCTTCACCGTCTTCAAAGGTTTCCACGGAGATGCTCGCCCCGCCGGGGCAGCCTGGGGGGAAGAAGGGAAGCACTTGGGCGGGCTGTAGGGGAGAGGGTGGGAGAGGGTGGGAGAGGGTGGGAGGGCCGTGCTGCCAGGGAGTGGCAGCGCCTGTCCCAGGAGCCCATTCTCCCACCTCTGACTCCCACCCTCCCGGGGCGCACTGCTTCACCTGGGGGGGGGGGGGGGTCTGTGATCTCCAGGTTCCCCTTTCCAGCTCTGAATTGTGTGACTGTGACCTAGAAGTCGTGTCCACGCGCTGCTCATAGCCCCACCTCCTGTTCTCCCAGAAAAAAACGCGCTCACTCTTTCTGTGCTTGACTGCCTTTCCACCCGCTCCCTTTCTTGCTCTTATTTCTCTCCCGGGGTGACTGCCCGTTTCCTTAGCAGCCTCTGCCAGTGTCACTGCACTGCCCATGAGGACCAGGAGGACATCCTGCCGCTCTGCTCTCTCCAATGAATGGGTTAATTAACCAACAGTCACCACTGTGCACCTGCTATGTGCCCAGGGCTGTGCGACGCTGTGGGGAACAGCAATTCCCACACTGAGGCTGCTGGCGCCTGGGGCTATGTCAGGACAACTGCACCAGGGCCTTAGCCCATTTTACAGATGAAGAAACCGAGATAAAAGAGGAATAATCACTTGGAGAAATTCCCTTGGGCTCTCTTGGCCACTGGAGCTTACCGTTGCATCGGTGAGTGTGGCAGGGGAGCCAAACCTAGGTTTGAAATGAATGACTCTTTGCTTTTGCATCGGACTCGCTGGCTCCCTGTGGGTTCTTGGGAATCATGAAATCTGGGCACAACATTTGGGGGCTCGTCCGGGATTCCCAAGACCATCGAGGGACCCCCGATCCGAAGAGTCTGACTGACCGCGGTATGTGTGTGTCGTTGTATGTTCTGTTCAGTGTGAGCTCGTTTCTGGAATCTGTAATTGCCTGAGGGGTCTAGGCGGACGCGCCGTGAACGACCACAGGCAGGGGAGAGTTGGAAGAGGTTCCGCTCCCCAGGAGGGATGGATATGCCCCTCACCCCAGGAAGGATGGATATGCCCCTCACCCCAGGAGGGATGGATATGCCCCTCACGAGGGATGGATATGCCCCTCGCGGATTTGAGACGAGGCAGTTCGCACCTGCCGGTTTGGCATAAGGCCAACGTCTAGTTGCTTCCATGGAGTTGGAAGCCTGTATTTTCGGGCCCTGTTTAGTGTTCTGTGTTTGTACTGGATGGATGTTATGGGATGGACTCAGACTGCTCCTTTGGGTATTGTGATTGATCATTTCAAGGAGATTGGGGGAGGCTTTAGAGCTCCCTCAGGAGTTGGGAAGTTGTTAGGAATTGAATGGATTGTTTAAAGTCTGAATGAATGTCTGGTGAAAGTGTGGGAGTGTGGAGGGAGGGGAATTGCCCTCCCCCCTCCTTTGTGTGGCGGTCGGGCGGCCGCCTGAGTGAGGGTCTGTGGAAATAGGTCACCCCCTCCCCAAGTAAATGCGTCTGGGACTTCTGTGCACGTGTTAGGAGAAAAGCTGGCTTAAAACTAATGTGCGCACCGTCCATTTTCGGATAGGGTTTTGGGCTAGCATATTTAATTTGCTACCTAAGATTTTAAAAAGTTCTGCAATATAATGTTGGCCATCTATCTTTTAGGGGTTTTGGTTTGCTCTTCCCTTGTTTATTGTGAGAATGAGGAAATCATCCTTTCTGTCAGAGAACAGTTTAGACCGCCACAATGTTGAGCTGCCTGACTTGGCAGCCGCCATGTTGGCCGCATGGCATGCCGTGCTCCTGGGGGCCGCCATCTTGGAACAGCAGGCCCCTCCCTCTGACTTAGACAATCACAAAAGTAATGTCTGCTCACTGAGGCAGGATGGGATTTCAGGGGTGGAGTTTTAAGGCGGAGTTTTACTAAGGAAATGCAGATGGGGCAGAACGTGTGCCTGCCTCCCAGATTTATTTAATACTAAATTAGCAATCACGGTCTTAATATAATTTTAGTGGTATGATAGACCAATGTTTTGAGCAGTTGGCTTTATAAGGGCCGACAATAGAGCTTGTATTTCTTAAAGGGCTTGTAGATAGAGAATTGAAAAGCTTTTACAAATTCATAAATGCATCCAGGATTTCTGTGCACATGTAAAGGAAAAGGCCAGTTTAAAAACGAGTGCGCATAGTTTTGAGCTGAACATGACCTTTTGCTGTGTACAGAATAAAAACCCGAGACTGTTTTGGCCTTAATAGTTATGGGTTTGCTTCTTGAATTCCCTAGCAGGAAAATTGTGACCATTTTGAAATTTAGCAGCTATGCCAGGATAGCAGTAACCCAATTTCTAAAGTAAAGTACAATTATTTCAGGTAGAAACTGTGGTTTAAAAGTTCTAGCTACCTGGAAAGCATGGCCTTGGTATGATGGGAGGAAAAAGAAATGTTAAATGTATGGTAGACCAGTGAGCTGGGACTGGTCACTGATGGTGGATTATGAAAAGGGCTGGACGTGGCCTAACTTCTCCTTCCTTGGTACCCCTGAAACGTCTGAGGGTACTTCTGGCCTTGGTTTTCCAATGTGTTAAATCTGTCGATTTTGTTGTTTCGCCGAAATCCTCTTGAAGGACATTGAATGGTTCTTTCCTTCCTCTTTAACTTTTGGGGGATTGTGTGAATGGATTACTGATGTAGATTATCAAGAATCTCTAAGGTACTTGTCCTGTATCTGGAGGAATGGCTTCTGGATGGTATTCACCATCTCTGGGACTTCCGGAGGGAAGTCAAAGCTCGGACTGGCTAAGGGTTCGGATCTGGCCTATCTTTTAAAAAGGTAGAAAAGAAGCATTCCTAAGCAGTTTTCTACTGCCTCTGTTTAGGGACTTGTTCTGTATCTCGACACAACTGAAACTGATTTGTTGGTATTTTGTGGTATAAATGTGGCATGTACCTCGAAGTTCTTAATGGGGAATGTATCTAGTTATCCTGCCTACTTAGTCTTGATTTCCTTGTTCAATATGAGTACCGTTTCTATCTGGATGAGACATAGGTCAAGAATCCTGTCCTGGGATGTGGGAAAGGGAGGCCCCCACATCTGTTCCTGTCAGGCCCCCCATCAGGGGACTTGGGCGGTGTTCCTGTTATCTGCTCAAGATCCCAAGACTGTAAAGGTACTTGTTCACTGAAAGGGTGTAAGTGTAAATATTTATTTGATGTTTGTATGTCTACTTGGGTATAATTATTTGTTCATGTAAGTGTGGAAGTCTGTGGGGAAAAAAAGGCACACGCTTGCCCCAAGAGCGCTTGCTCTCTGTCAGAGGTGGAATCTGCCTGCCTAACTAGTAAACATCTCTGTCTGTTTGTTTGCTGGGAACTTTGATTTGCTCTGGGTTGGGATTTTGGAATTCTGGGGTAGATTTAAAAGGTATTTGTGGCTTTTCTAGTCTGATTGGGACATTTAAGGGTGGGGCTCACACTTCCTCAGGGCAGAGATTTCATGGGCCCTTCCCCCTGCCTGTGCTGAATTAAATAATACAGGCCAGTGTCATTGGGCTTGCTGGTTAAAGGAAGACAATGGGCCTTAGAATCTGTAAAGGTGAGCGGGAATGAAGCTGGTCAAATGTACTGAAAGGGTTTGGTACCTGTTGCTGCTGTAACTGATAAACAGGGTTACCTAGAAGCCATCAGGACTTTGAAGTTCTCCAAGAGAGGAGGAATCTGTCTGACTCGGAGACTGGCGAGGACTGGGTGGCTTTTCTTTAACAATCTCTTTCCTTGAGAGGGCTCCAGAGGGTGCATGAGGACATTTGGCTGCGCCTCCGCGCCATCTACGAGACCAGCCCAACCCCAACTCCTCATCAGCAAAGACTAGGAGATTGGGCCCACATCAGAAGGCACCACCGGGAGACCCTAGAGCCACATTGGAAGGGTCCCTACACTGTGGTGCTGACGACCCCCACCGGTCTCAAGGTAGATGACGTCATGACCTGGGTCCATCACACTCACGTCCGGTCAGCGGATCCATCCAGGACCCGGAAAGACTTCATCACCAAATGGAGCATCGATTGAGATCAACGCAACCCGCTCAAGCTCAAGCTACGGCGTGCTCGACCTGCCTGATGCCGGTAACATGACTCGCGATCACTCCTGTCACCAGGAGCCCCCACAATACTGTGTAATAATGCCTGCATCTTCATGGACATGGATCCAAAGAGACAAGGACAATTTATAGGATCACATGTTTAGTAGCAGAAGATTTGGCTGCCTGAAGGGGCCATGATGCCAATATTATGTTTCATTGTATTGATATGTTATATTAACCTTTGATTCTTTTGCAGGTTTGAATGTATGTTGGCTGTCCTGGAAGGGAGCTGTGTGGGGTGACCCCCAAACGTAAAGGGTGCTTAGCTGCCAAGAGGGCAGGTGCCCAGCTGGGCAGGGAAGGGTGCCCATCAGGTTTTGGTCTCTGTTGAGAGACAGCTAACAGTTGGCAGCCTGTAATACTGTCTTGCAGACCTGAGTCACCATGCCCATGTCAGGGTTAGTAAAGCTGGAAAAAGCCTGTTTAGAATAGAAGGTCTGAGGCATGGTTATGCATAGAAAGAAGGTTTTATGCCAACAGTTACTGTTTTGTTTTAAATCCATGAAAAGGAATTAGCAAGGAAAGTCAGAAAATCTTAGAGTAGATCAGTATGTTTTTCTCCTTATGTAATTCCTCCGAAATCTGGCAATGCTAAATAAGTACATTTCTTTGCATAGATTCAGTAAGACTGGTTCCTAATAGTGGTTTTATTAACGGAAAACTTTGACTGGAGTATCATGTTTCGAAGAGCCCTATCTGAGCTCTAAAGACTTGAAGCCAGTAAAAATGCCACGTAGAAAGCCTGGTATCCTGCTTGGGAGCCCTGAAGATGGCTGCCGCTGGAGCGTCAGGCTGATGCCCTACCATCACTGGCGGTTGGTAAGAGTAGAAGGGGAGCAGTAAAGATGCCTCTGCATCCCTGCAGAACCCCACACACTCTAGGCCGCAACAAGTAGGAGGGCTACTGAGATGGGCCTTAAAGCCTGGAGCGTGGGCTCAGGTGGAGTTGCTACAGGTGAGGGATTCACCTAACTCAGCAGATACTGCAGGCAGGCTTGATGGCAGCTGGATGGCTTGGCTTCCTGGCCCTACGGGGCACATTAAGATTCAACCATGAAATTCCAGCAAAGGTAGTCAGTTACCATTCTTGTTGTGTGTATGCAAACATCAGGAATCTTGATTTGGCTTTTTGATAGCCATGGAGGAATTTTAAGAAGAAAAATCCTGTTTCAATAGAAGTTGTTAAATCTAAAATGGTTTCTTTCCCTTCCACCGGGCCATTTGTTAAGCTTATAGGGATAGTTCAGTTGATACTTCTGTGTGCCCAGTATGGGCCTCTAGCAACGGTGGAATAGAAATGCAGTCCGTCTCATGATTGAGCCGGAAGTTCCAAGACAAGGGGGGAATGAAAGGGCGAGGAGTACGCCCTCCACCTTGCCCCAGGGTAAGGGCTATGCCCTTCATCTTAACTTGGCCATGTGCTCAGCAAGCTTCTTCCCGGAAGATAGTCAAGGGAAGTGCACGCCATCACTATGACCACATCCTGTGTACTCACGCCTGGCCAATCAGCAGGGCCCACAGTCCTTTCTCCTCCCCTTACCCCAAACCCCTATAAAACCTCTCTCCACACAGAGCTCTCGCTCTCTCGGCCACTGGAGCTTACCGTTGCATCGGTGAGTGTGGCAGGGGAGCCAAACCTAGGTTTGAAATGAATGACTCTTTGCTTTTGCATCGGACTCGCTGGCTCCCTGTGGGTTCTTGGGAATCATGAAATCTGGGCACAACAGAGGTGGGGCAGCGTTTGCACCTCATGTATCAGACATAAAACTTTACTGAATTTACTAATCCTTGTAAGCAATTGAATCCTAGTAAAGTAAAATTCTTCTAAAAAAAGTTAAAAAAAAAAAAAAAAAAAAGAAATTCCCTTGGCCGGTGAGCACTGCAGCTGGCCTCTACAGCATTCCTGCTCTGCTCCACATGCTCTCAGGCAGACTAAGGAGGAGCAGAAAGATCCCACGTGGCAGCCCCAGGCCAGTGTCAGCGCAGTAAGCAGAGGTCTGGAATCTGACGGCTGGAGAATTTCTGTTTGGTGAGAACTCAGAGGGAGGGGGCCACACACCAGGAGGGAGGTCGTTCTGGACAGAGTAATGGCCTTGAAGGGGAGCAGAAGGAGCTTGCAGCTTGGGGTGCACTGGAGGCTCATTATCTGGGGGAGCAGCCATGGTCATATGGGAGGTCCCCAACCTGCTACCCAGAGTCCCCCCAGAGCAGGCCAGTGGGGGCTGTGTGAGCAGCATGGGAGCTGCCGTCAGCCCCCTTCTGGAGGCCTCCAGAAACCCTGGTTTAATTCCTGGTCCCAGCAGCGGTAGGGGTGAGGCAGTTGAGGGTAAAGTGAGAAACTGGTTCTGGGAGATGCCTCCCACCGTCATCCATATGTGACTCAGGGGCATCTGCTGTGACCCCTAGAGGTGCCTCTTCAGGGCGATCATCCCACCCAGGATGCCTATGCCAGCAGCAGACCGTGAGAGAAGGAATGTTGGTCCTGCAGGAAGGCTGTAGTGGGGATGGGAGCAGCCAGGCCCTCGGCCCCCTCCTGGGTGACAATGCTGGTTCCAGAGACCAGAAAGCCACCAGCTGGGAGGATGGGGGTGGGGGTTCTGGCCTCCATCAGCTGTAGAACCCCCACAGCCTGCAGAGGGCATGGCTGGAGGCAACTTGGGAACTGAAAGACCCGACAAGTTCCAGCTCCTTCTAAGTGCACTTGAAGGGAGATGCAAGTTTTACATCCCAACACAACGCACACACATAAGTGCATTTATAAAGTTAAAACACAAGTTTATGGAACCATATTACTCTCACAATGTGTGATGTCTTTATTCTATTCAACGATTATTATTTTTCTTAAATATATTTTTTATTGACTTCAGAGAGGAACGGAGAGGGAGAGAGAGATAGAAACATCACTGATGAGAGAGAATCATTGATCGACTGCCTCCTGCACACCCCCTACTGGGGACCGAACCCACAACCCGGGCACGTGTCCTTGACCAGAATCGAACCTGGGACCCTTCAGTCCGCAGGCTGATGCTCTATCCACTGAGCCAAACCAGCTAGGGCTCAACAATTATTCTAGTCTTTCCTATTCTGCCCTACTCTGGGAGATAGAGGAGGAAAGGGGCTGTGGGAGGGGGTGGGTTGCCCACAATCACCTCACAATTGAGGGAGAGTTTCTTCTGAGACCAACTGCAGATGCTCTGTGTGTGACCTCGGTGTCTCCCCCAAGGGCCCTGGGCTCAAAGCCCTATTCACCCAGTATCCTCCTGGGAGAAACCAGACTTGGCAGAACCTGGCAAACCTTGGAGAAAGTCCCTCCGTCAAAGCCCCTGGTTTTACAGGGAGGAAAGTGCAGCTCAGGGCTGCCGTTGCTGTACCTCTGTCACGTCCACATTTAATCCCTTCCTCCTGGGCTCCCTGGCCATGGGCTCTGTGGCACGAAGGGTCTTAGGTACTAAGCCTTTGGTGCTGCGGAGGTGGCAGCACTGAGGGGACCCCAGAGCCTCGGGCCCAGGGTCTCCAGGTCCCAGGCACGTGACTGAACAGGTGAGACCCCCACTGCCCAGTGGGAGGAGCAGGGGTTTGGAGTCAGACCTGGGAGCAATTCTGACTTTGCCAAGCGCTCACGACTATGTGATCTCGGGTAAGCCACTTCACTGAGCACCAGCTCCTTGTCTCTAAAATGGGGATGATGGTTTCTATCCTGCAGGGTTGGTGTTAGCAAAAATGTTTACAAATGTCTGGCACGTCGTAGGAATTTAACAGATAACACTGTTATGATTATTGTTAACAGTAATTGCGATGATACTACAGAGAAGGTCTCAGAACAGCACTCCAAGTGTGGGTTATTATTACTCACATTCGGGGGCGGTTTGTCTGCCATTGTCTTCATCCTCATAAACATCTGGGGGAGGAAACAAATTATAAAGGTAATAAATAAATGGCTTTAAAAGGAAACACAGAGCGCGCGCGCACACACACACACACACACACACACACACACACACACACACACCAGAAAAACCACTCCAAACATATAGGCCCTGGACAGACGTTCAATGTGAGTACAGCAATATTTTAAGTGACGGTTGCATTCTTAGAAAATGAGCCGAATGGTGCGTTGGCTCCAGTACCAGCCAAGGCCTGGCAGCATGTTGGGAAGATACTCTCCGTTCATGTACCAGAATGAGCGTAAAGCATCTTGGTGGAGAAGGGCGAGAAGGATGGGAAAGGTGGGCCATGAAGGCTCACGCCGGTAAGGACTGGGTGGCTGCTCTTCCCTCAGCGGGCGATCTTTGCCGCACAGAGCACCTACCTCCGAACTGGTTTGGGGAACTTAGGTGGAGTTTTAGCACTTAATGTTTAGAATCCTACTCTTTTGGTTGCTTAAACTACTGAATGAAATTTGTTAACAAGTGAATCCATTAGTGAGTTTAAATGCTTTTGGCAAATTACTAACCTTGGTGATAAAACTATGGCTTTTCCCTTGCTGTCCACTAGATGGCGCAAAGGGACCACTGTAGCTCCAGTGAGTTCGGCGGCTGCTCCTACCCCACAGGGCAAACGATTTTTATTTTCTTTCAAACTCGCTTTTTCTCTATTCCTTACAATCTGCGATGGCTTTTTAAGGACCATCTCTATCACATAAACTGACGTACATCATTTTCACTTGGGGGATGGGGTGGTGGTGGTGGAGAGCCCAAGCCCCTGGAGGAACAAGTGTGGGGAACTAGTTGCGAAAGATGCTAACAAAATGCCTAAGTCACCTCATTTAATCCTCTCAGGAAGACTGTACAGCATTACCTCCGTTTTATAAAATAAATGATGAAAAGACCTTATGCCGGGGTCCAGCCCCAGCGGGTCCAGGGGTTCCCAAAGGCGTAGATGGAGTCGGCGAAGAAGGAATGGCACAGAGACAGCGTTCAGTTGATCAGCAGCCTAGCCAGGATCTCTAGCCAGGATCTCCAGCCAAGTTCTGGTCTGGATCTCCAGCGAAGTTCTGCTTCAGATCTCCAGCCAGGTTCTGTGTCCATGTTCTCTTGCTAGGTTCTCCAGCCAGGTTCTGTCCAGGTTCTCCAGCCAGGTTCAGTCACCAGGTTCTAGTCAGGTTCTCTTGCCCATTTCTGTAGTCAGGTTCAGTCCAGGATCTTTTGCCATGTTCTCTCCAGCGAAGTTCTTCTGTCTCTAGTTCTGTGTAGGTTCTGTCTTCTTAGTTCTGTCTTCTTACATCTGTATTTATACTAGTTGATTCCAATCCTATCAATCTCTATTCCAAAGGTTAGGGTGTTTCTTATCTCCATTCCAGGGAGTAAAGATTATGTAGCTTAAGCATGATTGTTCGTAGTTAAAGTGATTAATTACCCGCCTGGCACTTAGTTAAGAGGTTTTATTCCCTCCCTAACTTCAGGGGAAAATCCCTACCTGGGGAAACAACCTTTCTCAGAGAGGAGACCTTGGTTAAAACACATACTGCCAAGAAGGTGAGGAGACATATTAAGAACAGTATGCCATATATGCTGGGTCCCTTGAAACAGCAAGGATGGACCGGCTCCCGGCAACCTTAAGCACAAAGAGGTTAAGTAATTCACCCAAAGAGATGGAGCTGGATTTGAGCTGGGTCTGTAAGCCTTCAGTGCCTGAACCCTTAACTGTTGTGCTGTGCTGCTCACGCTCCTTCTTGGCCATCTAGGGGTTAACGCAAGGGGTCACTTCCTGCCTAACCAACCCATCCCAGGAGCTCTCCAGAGTTCACAAAGGAGCTCCCTCTAGGATCTTTCCATGGGTACTAGGCTGGATGAATATCGTTTGCTTGGTGGCCCAGAGTGTAAACTTGGACATCTAGGCCAGTCTATGTCTGAAGCTTCCATTTCCTTTGCAAACCTGTCTTTGGCCCAAAGGAAGGGAATCACTCCTAAGCATTCAATCAATAGTTCTCAGATTTCACATATTCTTCTGGCCTCCTTCCCACCCTCCCTCCCACCTTCTTTCCCTTCCTTTCATGCATTTTCTGTTGCTCAAGTCTCTGCCAGCTTCTAGGGAAGTCTGAGCTGGCTGTCTTAGTCTTTCAGAGCTACTAAGAACTGGAGTCAAAGAAATGTTACAACTGGGAAACCACTTCTAGCTCAACAACCAGATGCTCTCAAATGTCTGGGTTGGAGTAAGCCCATAGTGGGGTGGTAGGCGGCGGGGGGGGGGGGGGGGGGGGGGGGGAGCCAAGCTGATGTGTCTAGTTGAGTCTAGTCAAAGCCTTGCCCATTTCCTCAGAGATTTGATGGGAATTTTTCAGTAAAACTAAAATACAAAGCTCCCCCTCCCCCCAATGTGTATGGCTCCAATTTTTTTTAAATATGCATTTTTATAGACAAAATGTCTGAGGTGAAATATTTACAGTGGTTATCTAGGTTATGTCTGATTTGCATTTCTGTATATTTTAAACGTTTGATAATCTACATATATATTCTTTTTATAAGTAGGAAAGGAAATTTAAAATAGTTAAAACCAATTGGTCAAGCATCTAAAATAACCTGCAATCTCACCAGAAATGACTGTTTGCTAGAACTTATTTTCTTCATCATAAGAGTGCATGAAATAATTTTGAATAACAATAAGATAATAATAACAATAATGAAAGTAACTACATTATCTAGATATGAAAGGAATTCCCACAGGTATCAGCAAACAACCCTTAAGTGCTACACTAGAGGGTTATAGGTATTAAAGCAGTTCTTGGCTCCACCAATACCCTGAGGGACCAGATAAGGGACCCACAATTAGGCCTGCACCCTGCAGGGGAGGGTGGAGCCAGGGGGGCTGTGACTTAAAAGGGTTATAGACAGGCTCTTCCTCTGATACCTTTGGGGCAGAATGGTTATTCAAATGTTATGTATCCTTCAGTGGCCAAGGCTTTGCAAATCGGGGACAAAAACTGAATTCAGAATTCAGAATTTTCAGCACAATTCAAGCTAGTAAAATACTCCTACTTAATTCTCTTATGTTCACCAGTAGCACCAGGAATAGCATGTTCATCTGTTCTGTGACTGTTCCTCATGACGTTGCTTGGGTTCTCAGGAGAATTCCCACCTACAGCCTTCCCCCGCCCAGGCTTATTGCTCCTGGCAGGAGGAATCCTAGCACCATGTTCTCATGCCAGTAGACGGCAGGCAGAGAAAGCAGTTGTTACCCTGGGGGGAATAATTGTACTGATCATCATGAGGGTGTCGGCTGTTCCTAGAGGAAGGTGTCTGGCATCTGGTGTCTGGTGACTCACCAGGACATTTCACAACCCTCTCATGTCATCACTTGTAACTGTAAGTGGGCAAATGAAAGAGAACAATGGCCAGACAAGAGTCTGGGGCGCCCACTACACATATCACTAGAATTGCCAGAGAAGAAGGAGGGGGGTGTAGAATTAGTGGGAGGGAGATGATGACTGAAAGACAGAACCCAAGGACCAGCAGCAGCAGCAGGTGGGAGGCAGAGATTTAAGTAGGACTCTTACTCTGCCCCCTGGTGAAAATATCTTTCTTGGGAACCACTCCCTCTAAAGCAGCGGTTCTCAACCTGTGGGTCGCGACCCCTTCTGGGGTCAAACGACCCTTTCACAGGGATCACCTAAGACCATCAGAAAACACATATCTAATTACATATTGTTTTTGTGATTAATCGCTATGCTTTAATTATGTTCAATTTGTAACAATGAAAATACATCCTGCATATCAGATATTTACATTACGATTCATAACAGTAGCAAAATCACAGTTATGAAGTAGCAACGAAAATAATTTTATGGTTGGGGGTCACCACAACATGAGGAACTGTATTAAAGGGTCGCGGCATTAGGAAGGTTGAGAACCACTGCTCTAGATCCACTGAGACTAAGATTGCAGGGACAGGGAGGACAAATTCCCCATGTGGATATTTGACAGGAGTGTGATAATGAATAAGGTCACAACTTATTTGACCTCTTGGCTCCCAGATTCATATATTCTGCCTCCTGGGGGCCTGGTGCCATTGGTTTAAGGTTAGCACCCCCACCCCGCAGGTCATGCCCAATGCTGCTGCTCATCCTCGCTTTCCAAAGGCTACTCCATGGCTCTGTCAGGCTGGCCGCTTCTGAGCGGGGTGGTGTGTGGTAGGACTGGTGGGTCGATTCTGTGATGTATGCACATGATGAGTCTCTCCATCAAAGCAATGTTCTATGGTTGATCAGACACCACACAAGTCCCTACAGTGATGCTCACTGAGGCACTGTGGGCAGGAAAGCACACGTGTCAACCCCACTCAGGATGAATCGCTGTACTTTCCAGCCTAGAACGGGTCTCATGAAATCAACTCATGGGATGGTATCCAACTGGGGCTCAGCTTAGATCTCCGTGCTGGTGGTTGGACAGTCAAGAGCGGAATTGCTACATCGGTCTGGATGGCAGGGAGCCCATGCTGCTGGGCCCATGCACAGCCTCCCATTCTGCTGCCAAGGCTTCTCCACGTAGGAGCCCGCGGTGCGGGCACTGGGTGCTGAGGGAGAAGCTGGCTGGCACTTGCTGGCCAAGCCATCCAGTGCCCTTGGTTGTTTGGTACCTTTTCTGCAATGGATATTCTCTGGTGGGCATTCATGCATGACTCAAAGATCCTCACATTTTGAGCTTATGTCCATACGTCCAAGGGTCTCTTCCCAGTCAGATCATGTTGTAATTTGATGTTAGCTATTGTTCTGAAACAGGTCAGGAGTTTTCTGCATAATCTTGGGGGGCGAGGGGAGGAGAAGGGTCTATCTTCCAACAAGGGAGAGTGGGGCACCTCTGCCAGCCCAGGGGAGCAGGGACATGTACCCACACTCCTCATCCCAAGTTTTAGGGGCCCATGTCTTTCCTACCAGGGCCTGCCTTACCTGCTCATCTGTTGGCA